GCATAATTAAAATGTCTTCATTGAGGGTAGAATTGCAAATCTCAGATGATTTTTCTCCTAGAAACAACTTTTTTTTTCCTTCTACGGAAGCCTCAGAAAATACTTGTCTTGGCTCAAAGTTGGAGAGACATGGCTCTTTGGGAGCTGAGTTGGCCTCTATGGTCGTCACAACCATAGAGAATGGTGTTTAGTGGAGATCTGGAGGGAGGCTTGGCTCATGGACTCCAAGAGTAGCCAAACCTCCTGTTATCCCCAAGCCTTCATCAAAACTTCATTCATCATCACAATCTGTATTTAGAATTTACAGGTGGTGCAAGGTTCAAGCTTGAGCAAAAAGCCAGATGGCAGTTGAGGCGACCCTCACAATGAGGACCACATTCCTTGGGGAGTCCCAGGCATGGACCACTGTTTTCAGGGCATGTGACCCTTGACAGGTGGAAGAGTCTAGGACACCCGAGTGTCAGCAAATTCACTTAGCAACTCTTCCTTCCTCTGTGTGCATAACATACCACCCTAGAGCCGCTGGTTCGGATTCTTGGCTAAAGGAAGCAGAGGACGTCAGCCTGCCCTCCCGCCATCAGAAAGGTGGCCAGCCTCCTTTAAGGAAAGGGCAGTGGCAGGCCCTGGAGTCAGAGGTGGGTGAACTTGGGCTGGGGCTTAAACAAAGATATGCTCCTGATTGTGCACTTCCCTGAGCACCCTCTTACCTATCCTTTGCACTCCTCATGACACTTGACTATTTACTCTCCTGTTGCTCAGATTTCCCTCTCCCTGGCCAGGATGAACCTCAGCGAAAGATTCTTCCCCTAGCAGGGATTCCATAAATACCCATGGGAGAGCAGCCCGATGCCTCACGTCCTGCGATTTTCCACAAGGCCTGTTTGAGGCACAACAAAACAACGGCTTAGAAACTTGGGATCATAAAGTGAGAGAATGCCCAATTCGTCGGCTGGGAACAGGCCACAGCTCTTTGAGTCTAACCCCCTGAGAATCCACTTCATTTTTCTAAAAGATTCTTATAAGTCGGCCGGGCGTGGTGGCTCACGCCTGTAATCCTAGCACTCTGGGAGGCCGAGGTGGGCGGATTGCTCGAGGTCAGGAGTTCGAAACCAGCCTGAGCAAGAGCGAGACCCCATCTCTACTATAAATAGAAAGAAATTAATTGGCCAACTAATATATATACAAAAAAATTAGCTGGGCATGGTGGCGCATGCCTGTAGTCCCAGCTACTTGGGAGGCTGAGGCAGCAGGATTGCTTGAGCCCAGGAGTCTGAGGTTGCTGTGAGCTAGGCTGACGCCACGGCACTCACTCTAGTCTGGGCAACAAACTGAGATTCTGTCTCAAAAAAAAAAAAAAAAAAAAAGATTCTTATAAATCTGCCCAGGTGAAGAACCTGCAGCCGGAGAAGATAACACTGAAGAGTGCACAAAGGCCTCCCCTTGGCAGAAGCTGTCCCTTGCTAGATCAGATCACACTAGTGGGAAAAAATCCACTGTAGTTAAGTTCACCAGTTTGGGAATCAGATCTGGGTTTGGGCCCCCACTGTACCACTCACTGGCTGTGTGACCTCGGGTAAGTATCTTACTCATGTCATTTCCAGAACAGCTGCAGAGGGAGGTGTTATTATTTCCATTTAAAAAATAAGAAAAGATGCGACTTGACGAGGCTATGGGAATAAGACATTTAGCACAGCGTACGTCCACTCCAGTGTGTGGTGCGTGCTCGGCGTACGGCAGGAACCTGCTGTCACTATTGTCACTAGCACGCATCCCAGGACCCCTGAGCACAGGCCAGAGTGTATTTCCTCGGAATAGTGATGGTGGTGATATAAAGAAGTCTTACATTCGCACAGCTCTTCAGCGTCTACAGCATACTTTTCATTCCGTATTCTCAAGACAGTGGAACCTGTTTAGGGAGTTGGTCCCTGGAGAAACAGGCATTGGCCTCCTCACAGGCCACGGATTTTTCTGTTTCAGGAGAGAGAAGGGCTTTCCAACTCCTTGCGAACACCAATGCTTCTGTTGTGCACCACTGAGCAGAGGTGTGGCCTCGGGACAAAGCCCCTGGGACAACGCCAGCTACCTCCTCTTCTCGCAAATGCCTCCCACTGACCCAGACAAGACATTCCAAGAGAGGCAGGGGCGTGGAGGCTTCCAAGACTTTCTGCATAAAGGGGCTGGACTCATACCTCTACCATGAAGAATCTGTCTCCAGAGCCTTTGGAGAGAAGCGTGGTCCTGCTGACACCTTGATTTGGGAGTTCTGCCCTCTAGAACTGCGAGAGAATAAATTTCTGTTGTTTTAAGCCACCAAGTTTGTAGTCATTTGTTACAGCAGCTATAAGGAACTAACATGATCTCTCTCTCTCTCTCACAAACACACACACACACAAATTCTGCCCCCCAAAAGAAGAAAAAGCTAAGTAGGAGAAATATTGACGCATTCACATGCACAGAAATGCACTGTCTCCCCTAAGGTGCGGGAGAGACCTCTGGAAGAAACGTCTCCCTGCTTTCCCCCTCTTTCTCCGCTCGCTCTCAGGGCTGGAGAAGGCTGGCGGGTTTATTCAGCTGTCTTAGGCACTTGCCCCATTTGCATTCCCTCCAAACGCACCCGTTTCTCTCAGTCACAGAAGGGACTTGCTGAGCAAAGCCTGACATTTTCCAGTTCTTGGGCCTGTGCCCAGAATCAACAGCCCTCCCCGGGAAGGTTGAACGAATTCCCAAGATGTCAGCGCAGAATGCCTGGGGCTGCCGGGCCGCGGTGTCCCTGCCCTGTCACTGGTGCCGGGAGCCCCCAGGGTCCGTGTTAACACGTGCGTGTTCACCGAGCAGGATCGCAAATACCGCCTAAGCAGCCCTGGTGGTTCAGGAGAGGCGAGAGCACGAATGGCCACATTTTAGGAAAGGTTAGATGGAGGTAACGGAGCAGCTTTGTGTTTGCTGGCCAAGATCTCAGCTTACCTGAAGCCAACATGACTTCAGAAAACCCCTCATCCATTCCCTCCCAGTTTTAGGTCTTAACAGGCAGTCTTATTTTGGGGGTTAAAACATCTGGTTTAATCTATTATAATATCAAAGCTTTAATGCCTCCAGTTTAAAGCTTCTCGTTCTCCAGGGTGCAGACCTGGATTAGTCATGGAAACCCACCGTGGGGTGCTGACAGGGTGGTCTCCTGCTCTGCGCTCGTCTCCCGCTCCCCAGGCTGGCTCGGGGTCCCGGGGGAGGGAGAGACAAGGTGTAGGGGCTGCCGTCCTGGTCCACCTTGGAAAGGGGCAGGTGCACAGGTGCTGGCTCTGATCCTAGTGAGCTCTGTGAAAGTGTCCTCTGGAGGGCTCCTGGGGTCCCCTACCCACTGCAGGGCCACGGGTGCAATGGTGCAGGTGATGCCCCGCAGGCTGAAGCCTCCGGATCTTCTCCAGGGTCCTGCCTGCTCAGTGGGGGCTCTCTTGCCTCCAAACTCTGGGAGAGCAGGCTGCTCCCACTTTGTTCTCACACCAAGGGTGCCTCGGGCCAGACACTCAGGGGTCAGGCACCCGTCTCCATCTGGGTCCTCCAGACCCCAGGGGCCACGTCGCATTTTCAAGCTGTTCCCTAAAAGCGCCCTCACCTGGCTTTAGCAGCCTCCCTCCCTTTCCCCATGGGGAAGGGAACACTTCACCCCCAGAAATGCTCCCTGCACCTTCTCCCTGGCCATTCTCACCCCACGTGCATAGCTGCAGGCAGTTCTAGGCTTGAGGCCACACACTTGGTTTAGGGCAACCCTAGGAAGTCCTCTGTCCGTGGTGCGGTGCCTTTTGTAATGTGGATGCACTTGCCGTTTCTTCCTCTCCTCCTTGGGACATCAGCAGAAGAGTCACTGATTCAGGGTGTTCTCACTCCCCCACCCTCCCTGCTGTCCTTCGACAGCCCCTGTGGTCCCTCACCGCCTGGCGTCCAGGTGTTCTCCTTCGGGACAGGACAAGCCCCCCACGGGCTTGTCCTGAAGCTCCAGTCCTGAAGCTTTCTTGAGACTTGCAAGCTCTGCCATGTCACGTGAGTAGCACCTCTGTTTCCTCTGGCTCCCGAGACGTCTCCAGAGGGAGGGCTGAGATGGGGTCGGAGCCAGGGAAAGAGGCATGAGGCCGGGCACCAGTGGGCACTTCCCTTTCAGCGAGGTCCCTCTCCACCAGCGACACTGGGCCCTGGGTGCTCCTCAAGTGCACACAAGAAGACTTGGGGGGCCATGCTGGGCAGAGCATCTCCGTCCCAACCCCCTGGTCTAGTTCGCACTAGGGAAGGCACGTTCCTCTGGATAATAGCACTTTAACCGGAATCCTTGCCAGACAATGACCTTGGCGGTGACGCTACGTCCGATGAGATTCCCACTTCAGTATGAATGGCACCATGTTCGAATAATTCCTTCCTGATTTGCAATAGGGGAGCATTAGGTGCTTCCTATTGGAGACAGGTGGGAAGTCATCTGGGGCTGGGGTAGAATACCAGGGGGCTGGATTTTGAGGCAGAGGGAGGAGTGTGAGCCTATTAAAGATTTTAAATAGGGGATCGACGTGAGCAGCTTTAGGTTTTAGAATGAGTACTCCAATTGCAGCATGAAGCATAGGTGCCTCCCAGGAGGCAGGGAGGCCAGGTGGGAGGCTGGGGCAGAGGTCCAAGGAGGGATGATGAGCCTGGACTACGGCAGTGGGTGGATAAAGACAGTGGATGCCTTGGACACAGCGCCAGGAGTCAGGATCACAGCAGGTAGACGGCAGGGGAAAGAGCAGTATGGCCTGGGGAGCTGGGTGTAGGTTGGTGGCATTCCCTGGGCTGGGGGCGCAGGAGGGACACATGGCGTGTTCTGCTTCCTGTTGGAGTCCCCACCTTACCAGAATGGCCCTGGACCCCCTCATCCTGGAGATCCCTGGCTCCCTTTCTGATCCTAATTTCACTGGAGGGCAGGGCACTTGTAGAATAATTCCCAAGACTGACTTGTCCCTTCTTCCCCAGCCAGGGCCCAGTGGATACACTCACCTAGAGGCCTGGGGACCACAGTGTTACAAGGGTGACTCCACATCCTGGCCTGCTCCTTGGGTACGACAGTTCCCATGTAAGCTTCCATGCACTTTGGAATGAAAAGCCACTTTTTAGGTCTCTATGTTGGACATTTCCCCTCTGATTTACTCTAATTTGATCTGCCATTTGGGGATATTGAGCCCAATCGAATGTCCGATTGTATCAGACTATCAAAGTTCTCGTTTAGCTTTTGTCTTTTACCTTTCTAACCTTTGCTTATTTAGCACACACACAATTTAATGATTTAATAGACCGAAGAAAACATCACCTATGGCAGAGACTGGCTAAATAGCAATCCTGTTTTCTCTTCCAGGCACGCTGGGAGATTGCATTTCCCAAATTCCATTGTAATTAGGCTGGCGCCTCACAAGTGGGTTTTGACCAATGGAACGTGGCGAGAAGAGGTGCAGGCTGCTTCCAGGCCTGGCATGAAACCCTGTGTGCGGTGGCCCATGCTCTCTTCCCCTTCTGCGACAACTTGGAGGGCTGCATGTTTAAGATGGTGGCAACACAGAGGGAAGGAGCTTAGATTCCCGAGTCACGTGCCTACAATCTGCTCTGGATGTGCCTGGGGTAAGGAATAGGCCTGTGTTGTATCAGGCCCCTGAGATTTGGGGGTTGTTTCTGTAGGGTTATTTATCCTGACTAATATGATGCACTAATACACCATCAGATCGAGGTTTTCGCCTAGGCTTAGTAAGACTTCTCTTCTGCTGGTTGTCTATATTGGAACTCGCCTGCTGGGGCTCATGTTGCCATGGGAAGACAGGCAGGACATCAGTACAACCTCTACGGCTAACTCCTCAGCCTTTCATGGTAGTACTTGCGAAATAGAATGCACATATTTTAATGTGCATATGCACACACACACATTTCTAAAGCTAATTCTTGAAGTATGTATGGGCTGACAAGTACATGCTTTGGAGGAAGATGTGTACTAGACCACAAAGAATCTCTGTGTTTTGGGACAGGATTGTTTTTTAAATTGGAAGTATGAGGAGGATACTTCATGAGGTATGCCATCAAGCCATCCCCCGATCTCAGTGCTTCTCTTTTGGGGGGAGTGATTTTTGTTATAGCTCAGGTATTTATCACTGTCACCAAGGGGACAGCTCAGTGTATCTTTCTTTTCCAGCTCAAGGGCCTGTGTGTAGGTGGTGGACACTCAGAGGTTAGGATGAATTGAAATGAAAGTGAGAAGTCGAAGCCATTGTGTATGTAAACAAAAGGCTGAAGTTACGTAATACTTGACTATTTTTTCCCTTCTCTAAGGAAGGGAAGTTAACTTTGTCCCCACTGAAGGGTTTTTTCCATGAGGTAGCCTCAGCAGAATGGAGGCGGGGAGCTAATTTCTATGAAGGGCCACTGGAACTACAGGCAGAAGAAAAATTAGAAAATATAAGAATTTTTTAAAAAAGTTATTCAAATGCCCAAATAAATTGTAAACGTTCACTCTGTCTAGTTTATAGCCATCTAAGAGAAGTAGAAGTGGACCTTTGGTATAGGTGAGGGGAGTGGTGGCTGGCCGAATCTAGACAGAAACACAGAGATGGAAAAAGAATTGAGACATGGTGGCCAGAGAACAGCCCCTCCTTTTTCTCTCTGTCTCTCCCACATTCTCTCTCGTATTTATACACACACACACACACACACACACACGCATATCCTAAAGCTATAACTCATATTTTTTTTTTTTTTTTGAGACAGAGTCTCGCTTTGTTGTCCAAGCTAGAGTGAGTGCCGTGGCGTCAGCCTAGCTCACAGCAACCTCAAACTCCTGGGCTCAAGCGATCCTCCTGCCTCAGCCTCCCGAGTAGCTGGGACTACAGGCATGTGCCACCATGCCCGGCTAATTTTTTTTTTTATATATATATCAGTTGGCCAATTAATTTCTTTCTATTTTTATAGTAGAGACGGGGTCTCGCTCTTGCTCAGGCTGGTTTTGAACTCCTGACCTTGAGCAATCCGCCCGCCTCGGCCTCCCAAGAGCTAGGATTACAGGCGTGAGCCACAGCGCCCGGCCTATAACTCATATTTTAAAATGAGAAAATATTGTCTGAAATTTCTTTAAAAGGTTTTGCTTTCTCCTCAAGATCTGGAAACCACAGGCATTTTGGGAAGTTTCTCTTTTTCTCATTGTCTGATTAAAATTTCAGGTTCCAAAACATCGAGCTACCTGTTTTTAGGGCTGTTAAATGCGCTGTGGTACTCCTGAAGTCTAAGTATAAAGTCATTCTCTCTTCCGGTGGTTTTAAAAAAATTTTGAGGCTAATCATAGTTCAAATCATAGATTTGAGATTGAATTTTTGCTTACTGTTACAAAAAGAAAAACACCTCAAAAACACCTGGATTTATGCTCTCCATGCTAGATGCAATTTAGTTGGGGCCAGAGCTGACTCATGGTTTGGGAGCTATGTCTTCCCAGTTGGGGGTTGTTTTGTTTTGTTTTGTTTTTAAATCCAGTATCTTTCAATAGAGCTTGGGAGAGGAATTAACAACACTAGAGTCCCATGCATTAACTATTTGGGTCAACTGGATGCCTGAATTTAGCAGGTCTGGACTAAATCTCTAAGTCATTATCTAGTTCTCCTATTCAAAGATTCAAGGACCTGGACTGGCCCTCAGCCAGGCAGAGCCACCCTAATTTGTGGGTAATCTTTGTCTTCTTGCTGTCACTCACTTTCCTTTTTTAGGCAGTGACCCCTCTGCAATCACCTCCCCTAGAGGATGGTTAGAGACCGGGAGAGCTAAGGCCGGGCATTGCACTGAAGGCGAGAAGCTTTGGTGAAAGGTTTGGGGAAGTTAAACGCTGTCTAATCTTGGATGACTTACGGATTCAAACATACCTTTTTTTTTTTTCCAGATTATTTGTGGGTTTACATTCTAAAGTTACTTCCATCAATTCATGGTAAAAATATTAAAAAGTCAGCTACATGAATCTGACATCATTGAAATGAGACCACATTCACATAGCTTGAATTTATTTTCTCCTCACAGGTAATCATGCAGTCATTTTAGAAACTTTTGCCTTACACAGCGGGGAAGCTGGGGCTCTGTAACACCCAACATATCAACAGAACTAAAACTGGAATCCCTCATCAGCTTCAGTTTTAATATATGTTATATATTATGCAGTACATGGGCATAATATATGCTTGGTATATTTATACCTGTACAATAGTTGAATAAACAGGTGTCCCTATAAATAAGTTGATTTCTTGAGTTTTTTTTAAATGAAAATGCATATTACAATCACATTTCCTCCATTATCACTTTAAAAAACTGAACAATCATAATTTTTCTACCAAAAATATGCCCTATGAATTATGCGGCCTGTAACAGGGTACAGGGGCTGGACAAAATGAGAAGCCAAAAGAAATTGCATTCTGTAGCCGGATCGTGTGTATTCCGGGGTATTTATACTCTGCAAAGAATGATACCCCTGCTCTTGCTGTGTCTATCCACAGATCGTATTTCAAATTCTGCACCGAATGAACTTATCAGCAAGCAGCCTCTTCCCATCATGTCCACTGCCTCCGACAGACCCATCCCCAGCTGGTGTTGACTTCTCCCTGTAGTGCCGGGAGATCATTAATCTTTTATGTCTTCTTACTCCGAGGACCTTTTTTTTCTTTACTGGGGCTTTAAAACAGATTGTGCCTGTTTCCACTGGCCTTTGAGACATTTGTCATGTGTCCTCTTTCAAGCAGGTTGTGTAAAAACCAATTACTTGAGTATAGCTGGGGTCATGGGCAGAACTTCTGATGGCAGGGAGGGAGCCTTGATTTTGTCATCTTTCCCGATGTCCAAGTCATCGAGGGCACCACCACTAGAAACATTTATTACTTAGCATCTGAAGAGATGCTGTGGACCCATTCTGAGTAGCGATTCTTCTCCAGGGCTGGTGAACTAACTGCATCTTGCCTCCTGAGCGGTGTGGAAGCTGCAGACCGCTCACCGCAGAGTGAGTGACAACACAACTCCTGCAGGCCTCGACTGCCACTGCGGACCTCCTCGCAGCCGAACCTTGCCACGAGCAGGTCTCTTGGCTGCAGAGAGAAAGGACTGTGTCTGCACGGCAGAGTGGAGAAGAGCAATAGAATTGTCTGGTGAAGGCAGGTGCTTAGATAGATACCAGCATTTGCCAAACGAGAGCATGAGTGTGCAAAACCGATGGTATACCTCAGGCTTCATGAGCACTTCCTGCTCAGTTGCTGGTTATTTGTTTTTTCCTGATTCATTTAGGGAACATCTCAATTGCCCATTTTATATAAAGTTTCCATTTCTTCTAGCAAAAAGGCTTTTGCTTGGGTATAATTATTTAAAAGTGGCCAAGACATACAGCTTGTTGAATATTTACACTGCTTTCCACTCCACATTAAGGTTCTTTGTGGGATTAAGAGCAAGTGATGACAAAGCTGCAGAGAACACGGCTGCGTGCTCCCTTAATCCTCTGTCCAAACATCTCTCTTCCACGCGCCTTTCACCCAGAGCCCGTGAAGTGGGCAGGGACCCGCTGGTGCCCACTCCGTAAGCGCCTTTAAGCTCCCACTCTGATACATTTGGTACAGGCACCAAGCAGATCGCTTTGCCACATCTACAAATCCGTGCAGAGCCCCTTTCCTGAGCTCTGTCGTGACAGCTCGTTTGGACCCTCCCAGTGACTGACGGTGCCGCTCACACCCTGATTGGCATCCTTTCTTCTTTTGGGTTTGACGCAGAGCGCTGTGTAGTCTTTGGCTGTGAACTTGTAATAACAATCTTGGCTCTATCCTGGCTGTACCTTCAGGTCACCTGAGCTGACACCATTCTGGTTATATTTGGTCCCAAGACCCTTCTAAACTAGTTCTGTCCCCTCCGGTGTTGATTCTACCAGGCTCAACCCAACCTTTTGAAATGGAATGAGACAAAAGGCTCAACTAATAAAGTGGTTAACAACAGAATGTTCATGATTAAAAAGGAGTTTGGTGATACATTGGGGAGAGTCCAAAACTGCTTATGAAAACTCTTGTTTACTGTTGATCTCCATGCACTTTCACAATATTTGTGTTTTCGGTACATGTATACAATGGGCAAGGATCAAACCAGGGTAATTGGTATACCCATCACCTCTAGCATTTATCATACAATTATTATGTGTCCACTAAAAATAAAAGAAAAAAAATTTTAGAGAGGCGTTTGTGCTTTAATTGTAGTGGAGATTTCTATCTGAGTTGGAGGCACCACGGCTCCAAGGCGGGGAGAAACAGGGTTTTCATCACGACCTCTGAGCTACCAAGGGTGCATCTATGTGGGTGGTGAGCTCTCCTTCCAGATTTCCTGGCTCCTGTCAGTGCTAGGAAGAGTTTTAGGGGCCAGGGCTATGGAGGAGAACCAGATATGAGGAGCTTGTGCTCATAGAACTTATATTTTAGTAGGAGAAGAAAAGAGTAAAGAAAGAAGCAAGTGCATAAATGACAAGCGTTTGAGTAGTGTGCTGCAGGGAGCTTCCTGGGAGGGTGTGCTGATGGGACGCCCAGCCTCTCCTGTCCCTCCTCCTTCTGGAAGCCCTGCGTGCAGAGGAGCCTCTACCG